TTTTTTTGGTTAGCTAATGTGGCACAAATCAAGGACACATGCTGTCATGTTTCCTTCTGCTAAGCACTTTTTCTGGGGAGAGCCATTACGCTACACATTCATCATGTCCTTTAAAGTTTTTAACAGATACTCACTGAAATTATGTCTGCTTAAATCTTCAATACAAAAGATCATTTTAAAAAAAGAAAACAGGTGCTAATTTTCCAGATAAAATTGGAACATATTAATTATTCTATGAAACCACTGGCAGGTTTGACAGGGTTTTTTGCATTAAGAGTACAGTTCTGTGTATCCAAAAAAAGGTGATCCAAATAAGCAGAGCAAATATGCACAGATTCATGAGAATGACTGATAATGAATGACAATGCATATAGTAAATGGAAGGGCTATGATGCATCCTTTGCAAAGATGACAAAATGCATTCAGAGTAATACATCATGACGATATTTTCCCCTTATGAGGAAGAATGCAGTTTTGTGAACCATCTCTGATGCCTAAGGCAAAAGTTTAGAAATTATTATTCCTAATCTCATGCAGCAGCAGCCTTTATTTTTAAATGAAAGCATAACTGCTCCAATTTATTTTCACTGAACTTCCAACATTTTGAAAAAAAAAAAGCTTCCAAAAATCTTAACTTTAACAAATAAAAGGTTTTCAAACATAACATAATAAAGAATACTGGATATCTCATCAGATGGCATGTCAATCCTTCTATGATAAAATTGGATCAACTATATTTAGGTGTTTCCTTGATTACCTGTAGTACAATTTAAGCTCATTATTTCCTTGATCTTTCCCCCATGGATATAGCTAGCATATTGTTCCCGTTGTTTTTCTTATTCCCACATTACTCTTCTTTAAATCATTCACTTATATATCTGAAAACTGCAATAGGTCTAAAGAGCTGCAATTCATGCAATCTTTTTTTAGAAGCCCTATGCTACACAACTAGATAATTTTCATTGCTCTCCTGACTTTCTCCAGCACGTCTGTCCTTACTTGCAGTACTATGGTCAGATCTGGATATGTTCTGGTTAAAGCCTGACAATTCTAGTGCAGAGGGCAGCATTATTTACATGTCATTCCAACTAAAAAACTGAATATCCTGCTCAGTGGTTTTTGTTGTCAACAATATGGTGCTATTGCCTGGCCTGTGATTCACGTGAGCCTCCTGACCCTGTACCAAAGACCCATTCCTCAACCATCTGTACATTTTTGCAGTTATTTGTTCCTAAATATAGTACTTCGCACAAATAAATTCCATCTTCTATTTATCAGATGTCTTCAATTCGCCAAGTTAATATTCAGTTCCAATCCTCTTTAACGTCTCTGATTTACTGATTTACTATTCAATTCTGATCCTATGCTCCAACATACTTCCAGCTCTTCTCAGCTTGGCATGATCTTCAATTGTAATAAAGTTCCTCCTAAAGCTTTCTCTTTATTTCCTCCTCCCTCCAAATAGTTTAGAAAATTTATGAAAAGTCATAGTGGAACTTCAGTGGAAAGTTCCTTAGGAACCCAGTTTGATTAAGCTTCCTATTTATCAGTGAACCATTGATAACTACTTTAAAAGTATGATTTCAAACCAGTTTCGCACCAATGCCATAACGGTTTACTCCAAACAGTACTTCAGGCTGAACTTATATCTCATAAAAGACAGTGTCAAATAATATTCTCGTGTCCAAGATATAAATGACAACTACTTTGTTTCTATTTTCCATAATGCTTTCTACAACCTATTAATTACGGATTTCAGTTTATATTGATGTTGTACTTGCCAAATTCTTGCTGACTGTTAGTTTTCTATTTTAAGTGCTTAGAAATAATAATTATATTACTTCTACACTGCAGAATTTGGCAAGAAAGAAGATCTAGGAAAAGAAATTATGTTTCTGTCTTGTGGAGAATTTTGCTGTTTCTTTAATAGTATAACATCGTGATATATATTCAGCAGTGTTTTTAAAAAAGATTATTTTATGCCAGTCTGCTATGGATAGCCAAATTGCTTCATTACCACTTCAGGGACAAGCAAAAACTAATTGTCTTCTAAAGATGACCTTTATCTAAAGGTCAAAATATGAAATTGAAACCGGAGACACTTGAAATGAGTTATTTAAGATTGTAGCTGATCTCCTCTCAGAAGTGATGCTTGAAAAGCCCATGTGGCACATCAATGCTTTAGCACAGTGGAAGAGCAGTTTGCAGCAGGGACGTTCTATGCAACGATGTTGATGAACACCTCCTTGGCATCACTGAGATGCTGCATCTGCTGGTGCCAGAGATTACTTTACTTTTATTTATGAACAAAGGCACATGTAGCAGTTGAGATAACTAGTGACATTAAGCTGAATTTAGATAGCATTTTACTGAAATTCACTCACAACTGGTTGAAAAAAGATAGGTGAGAGTAACCGAAATTACTCCCTTTTCCGCGTATTAATTTTTCCTTTGATATCCACTGTTTGCTAAGTCTACAAAATTTGTGAAGTTACAGTTAAGTGGCATCTCATGCAGGATTAAAATCTAAGAGGACAATTACCTTTTTCCCAGAAGCTGATATTTCACAAGGAGGGATAGGACTTTTTAGGCAACGTGCGAATGTTATGAACAGTGACTGGTGAAGTCATTCTGCCTAAACAAATGCTGTTGCCTCATACAAGAGCTCTTGGTACAGAAATTCTAATCAATATGTCTCAAAGACATCCTCAGCAGATTTTATTCCTACTTTCTCTTTCTATTATGACATCTTACGAGGAACTTGAAAACGCAAAAAGTATGTGAAATTAAAGTGGGTTGAAACAGTTATTAAAGAATAAAGGAAGAAGTAGGTTTGTATTTTGAAATTGATTTTATATTTAGCCCGTGGAAGCAGCAGATATTTATTCAAAAGATTGGTTTTTTTCATAGCTAAGTAGATAGAATCATAGAATAATTTAAGCTGAAAAGGACCTCTGGATGTCATCAAGTCTAACCCCATCCCTCCACCCCCAATCAAGGAGACTATAATGAGAAGTAATATGACTTAATAAAAACACACAAGAATTTATAGGCTTACATTTCACATGCATACTTTCAAACATGAATTATTATAGGCAAGGGAAAAAATACCATTTAATAGTAATTTAAGAAACTAAGACTATTCTATTCATTACAAAACAATTTCTTTATGATTCAATTATCTTCTCATTTCCACTCTATACAGCTTGCTCCCAGCAAAGACAGCTGTTCAATTACTTTCTAAAGAGTTATTACTGTTCTTAAAATCACTTCTTAACATCTCCAGAAAAAGTTGAGGAGATGACTAAACACATGTGACCAATGCAGAGCAGTTTTTAAAGACATACTGAGCATATGTAATTGTAAAATCAACAGGAAATCGTATGGTTGTTGAAGCATTCTTGGAAGAGGGTGACAGAATTTGCTTGATTTAAAAGTTACATCTAGACAGCATTCTGAAAGAAATGAACCAATTTTTTTCAATTTTGTTTGTGGCTGAATTTTTTACTTTAAACTAGTTGAAATAATGTAATGAGGAACATTACGAAAGTCTTCCACATTTAAAGAAATGTATTTGTTTGTTACAGTCAAACAGCTAACTTAGCCCATTATATAGCAATAGAGTTTAGCTCCTCTCATTCTGTAAAATAATGATACTATATTTAGAAAATGACAATATCAGGTTATAAGATAAAGAGTATGTCTTGTGCACAGCATACCTGTAAGTATTCAGGCTAAATGAATACAAAAATGAAGGTGAAATACTGTCAGGATTCACAGAAAGAGTTTAATGTAAATATTGGAAATAAACCTAAAAAATTGTCTCTAAAGCAAAGCTGTAACAAAATTTCCTTCTCTGTGGAATCAGACTCCACCTCAGTGACTCTTATCATCAGATATACTGGCAAGAGAACTTCCCACACAGCTCTGACAACGTCTTCTCCCAGTCCACTCCTTTCCCTCCTTTTTCATGCAAATGCTTAATAGTCAAAACTCAATTCAAAGCTAATTGAAATATACAGAACAAGACCTTAGAGCCTGGCTCTTCCAAACAATTCTGCCCGTACAATAATTATTGGCACAAACCTGTGTTTCATTAAAAGTCTGTCTGCTGCTCACAGGTAACAAGAAGGATAACTAAAAGTATTTAAAGGAACAGCCTACCTAGTAGCCATTACTTCATTTGAGCTTGAAATATACGATACGGTACCTAAATACTGCAGTTTTAGAATGTTTTGTCAGGTTCTTCATTCTTATGCTGTCTTCTACCATTGCACAAGGCTGCCTTATTTAGAAATGAAACAGCACATGAAGAGCACACGATTAAATGTTTTCTTCAGTGTTTTCTCAGCTATTGCCCATTTAAACATATTAATTGGAAAATAAAGCAATGTCTGATACCTGGTTCTTTCTTTGGTTTTGCTATGTATATTTTGAGAGTCTTTGGAGAAGAATCTAGATATCTTACCTATACATTAACATTTGATTTAATCAAATCAAGCCCTCTCAGCCAGCTTCTAACTTTTTTCATGTATGACTTAATGGCTAGTTGCATTAGGAGCTGAAAACCAGTATCCATGGGTTCTGTCTCAGATTTGTTGCTTGCTTCTTATATAAACTCAGAGAAATCACTTAGCCTCTTGGCATCACAGGCTGCTTATTTTAAAGATAGCATTTGATACCTGTTTTCCCAGGGACACAAAAAGAACTGATCAGTGTTTTCAAGCTTCTTAATTTGACTACAAACTGCTACTAAAACACAAAGTGGAATGCATGCACATTGTGATCAATGCATTATACTACACTGCTGCACAGCTTATCTTCTCATGGTAATAGTATCACAAAAAAGAACGTATCCTACTATAACTATGGTTTCTGTTACAATAAGCAGTAGAGACCACCAATATACTTGCAATAAAATGTTTTGAACAGCACACATATAGTAAATACATTTGATAAAGTGGACAGCTACTGTCACTGTTTGCTATGCTTCAGTTTACCTGGTAAATTAGAAGTCAAGAGGAAGGGAGGCATTCTTGCAAGCAATGAGCATTTTCAAAGCTTGTTCATTTTAATAGAAGCAGAGAAAATGAAGAACCTTTTTGAACTGGGCAAATATACCTTGATTTAAATGGAAATTGTGAGCAAACCACTAAGAAATCCTAGGAGTTGGAGAAAAGCTATTTTAAGCTATTACATATGGTTTGCGTTGCTAGGGAAACCTTTTACAGTGTTCATTTAGCACAGATGCTCAGGAAAGCTCTGTGTCTCCATGTCATACCATTTCAGAATGTGAAGAAACAGAGATGCACACATGCACACATGCAGATAAAAATATCTCTGTAATTTTATCTTAGTCATATTCTGTGTCTTTGGTAGAAGTTAGTTCTTTCCATTTCTAATATGACCACGGTGATAAATCAAAAGATTAGAGATTTAAAACCTCTGTTTCCAGACTGAGGATATTTGTTCAAACATTACCTTCAGTTTTGATCCACCTGAGTCTGTAGTTTAGACAGTCATCTATTTAGAGCAAAAGATTTGCCTTTGCCATATATGTAGTGAAAATGCAAGGAGGAAGATCAGCCCTGGTGACACCATTTCTTGACCACCCTTTTGTCCCTAGGGAAGCTGTGACTTGCCAAAATGTATCATATGACTTGCTCTGTGCAGGCTTTACTGCCACACTGTTTGCATTCTCCCTTTACCTCTTCAGTGCCCAGGCAGGTGACAGGCTGGAAGGCAGTTGCCATCGGCCGTGCTGAATGGGAAGGAGGGCTTAGACCTTAAGCATGAAAATATATGCTGCCTTTTATTTTATTTTCTAGAGAGCAACAGCTCCAGAAATTCAGACAACATAAGATTTCAATGATTAAAAAATAATTTTTTTTTTTCAAGTTTTGCAATATTTCAGTCTCTCAGTTCTAGGAGACCTTATTTATAATTCGGGGAATGGCACACTGTTACTGTATACAATTACCCACTACAAAGAGGGTGCATTCTCACTATCTATCCAAGCAAGGTACTTCAAAATAGCATTAAAACAACTCATGAATTCAGCTATGTGTAGGAAAGAGGCAGAAATTGATTCTTACTAAAAAGTAATCTAATTGGAGTAATAAAAAACATTAGTTATTTTGGACATCACAACTATGGCTTTCTGCAGAAAGTTCGCTATGTTGTCCAATACACTGGAGAATTTAGTGCTTTTCTGGGTCACACAGTGTAATTCAAAACCTATGTAAACACTGAATTATGCTTGTATCAAGAGTTTTAAGCCAAACATACATAAATATCTTTTAGCAGAATACTTTGTACAAAGCACTGAGATTTAAATGCTTGTTTTGAGTTACGATTTTCATGAATGTCTCACAGAGGACATTCACAGAAAAATGCCTCCAGTCTATCCAGCTGGTCATTCAGTTTACAGAAAACTACACATAAAGCTAGTTCCCTCCTATGCCAACATTGTCCATTACTTGTATCGCCCCACCAATCCCCACCCCTTCTATGTGCTAGTACAGTGGCTTAGGATGGCCTTTTGGTCTTTCTAAGATGCTTGACCTAGTACAATCATCCATCAGTACAGCCAACTCAGTCTCTTGTCATAGTGGATTTCCAAGCCCTGTGAGACAGCTTCCTGGGAAGCGCTGTGATCATGCAGGAGCCAGACTGTTCAATCAGAGCACAATGAAGCAGTGAGAAAAGCACATAAGGGAACAAGGCTGTAAGTCAGGAGTAATTTTTTGTCTTAATTTGTTTTTTTCATTCACTTAAAGGCTTCCAAATTAATCTATAAAAGAAATTTAGAGCGGCTTGGTGTTACAATACACCAATAAAGTTGCTCAGCATGAAGCTCCCATGGCACGCCACAAAGCAATAGAGCTCATATGTGCCTCTTACCTCCTTGTTTAATATGTAGCTTAATTACTGGTACCTGTTTAAAGTTTCCTTATACTTTTTCACTTAAGTGTTACAGTGAATTCAAACCTGAACTTAATACAATGAGTGAAAGAACAAAGTCAGTTGTTCATACTGGAAAGACAGTTTGGCCTGTTCAGTGGAGCAACAAAGCTCTGATACGCTTACTAGCAAGCTATTGAGCTTTTATTCTTCATCTAGAATCTGGAATTATTTCCTTGTGTATTTTAAAAAATACATCAGGTTGATACCTCATCTTTGAATTTTTGCAAGTTGTTTTCTTTTAAGTCTCTACAGTACCTAAATCATCCTTTGTTGTTCCCCGTATGTCAAGCCATTAAGTGAAAAGGCTGTTAGTTCACTTTTACTGGCTACTGCTGTGACACTTCGTAAATTAATTCATGCTAAAACCCACAAATTTTTACCTTTTCAAATAAGTAGCTTTCAATCATATATATATATATATATATTTTGGAGAATAACATAGCTGCAATGCGAAATTTCTAATTTCTAGACTTCTAACTTTCTCATTTATTATTTTTTATTCTGTAAACTGTTGCTGAGGTCTTATTGGTTTTCCTGTATCCCAAATACTCTCTCTCAAATGTAAGATCAATTTCTAATGTAGATTATTTGGAAGAAAGACTTGCAATATGTTAATGTTACCTTTCTATCTTGCCACGAGTGTACAGGTAAGTCCCCAGCAAAAAAGGGTCCTGATCCAGAAGCAACATAAATATAGTTTCAGCTTTGCCTGTTCAATTTAATATATCAAATTTCACATTGAATTTGGAGGGAACATAATTTTATTCAATAAAGACACATTCAGCAGACACATCTAGCAAAAGACAAGCAGGAAAGGCTGACCTACCCTTAAAACATTTGATTAGCTCTCATTTGATCTTCTCACTGGTTGAAACATGGTCAGTAGGAACACTGTAAAATATATGTTACGGTATTGCACAAAGATTAAACAACTAATAGCAGTTTTCTACAGTCATAAGAGACAACTATGTGAGAACCTGAGCAACTTCCCAAAAGAGAAGCTAGACCATAATAATTGCCAGAGAGGGAAGCATCAATGCTTTCAGGAAAGTGTTAAAACAATTAGATGGTAATAGATAGATGCGTTTACATTAATCTACTTACAGCCTTTTACTTCTCCAATTGAAATCCTCATTAAGTACATTATCATGTATCTTTTCAGTTTTTCAAATTACCAGGAGTTATAGGATCATAAAATCACAGGATAATTTGCATTGGAAGGGATCTCAGGAGGTCTCTATCCCAATCCCTGCTCAAAGGAGGGTCAGCTGTGAGACCAGCCCAGCCTGCTCTGGGCTTTATCCATTTGGGTCTTGCAAACCTCTAAGGATGGAGACTACACAACCTGATGGATAGATATAAGGCATATCTTCAAGCATATTTTCACTGAAACAATACAGATTGCAAGCAACCTAAATAATCAATTCCTTCTTCAGGAGGCAGAAAACAAATCTAAGGAAAAATTTGTGTTTTTTCTGTCAAGACTAGCTATGATAATATATTTTCACATGCTTCATTTAGTTACTGTTATATTACAACCCCAGGAAAAGTTGTAATACATATTTTATTGAATAAACATGATAAAATTGCTCTGTTATTTTTTGTAAGATCACATTATAATGCGATTTTGCCTTCCTCCAGCCTAGAATAGTGAATAGCACAAGCACTCCAGGAAAAAAATCTGTCATAATAATACTATAAGAAATTTTTTCCGCAGTTCATATCAGTTCCACTTGTGCTTTTCAGCCTTTCTTTATTTTTCTTCTGACTTCATATACTACATTTATTTAGATCAGTTATTTTTATTCCAATTCAATTACAGTTAGCTCACATTGACACAGACCCTGGCTGCTTGGAGCAGTTATCACTATTATCTGCCAAGATAAATACCAAGTCACCAACTGTATCAAGAGTACAGGTTTTCTTAAGATAAATAATCAGAAATAGCATTAACTACACTTGATACTGCCAAATAAAAGTAGACCTAATAGCCTATCTGTAAAGGCTGTAAAGACAACTCTCTATCTTACAAGTCTATGGACTCTTGAACAGAGGTTTTATTGTTATGAGGAAGCATATTCGATGTTCAGTGGACATCAATTTCTGACATTAGCAAAGATGCATATATTAATGAATAGTAAGATATTTCTCAGATTTTATAAAAATTGAAGTCAGTGACCAATAATAAGAGCAGGAGATAAAGCACAACAGTCTGTATAATTTATAATAAACAATTCCTTCTGGTATATATGGGAGGGTATTCAGTGTATGCTCCGTTTTTTGTAATGACTTCAATGAAAATCCACTCAATTGAGCCAGATATGAATATAGCAGGCTAAGTTATTGTAATACCTTTCTAGACCCAAGTTTGAGTTACGTTTTCTGACACAGAAAAACAGGAGATAACAACTAGTTGGAGAATACTTTGGTATCAGGATATCTCTACCTATGAACACATAGAAATATTTGGCTATAACAGAGGGAAACACTCTCAGGGTATAATTGCACAATTAAGAAGAAGGAGGAATTGACCATAGATAAAATTACATATCTAACAAAACAACTTAAGTCTACCTGTCAAGTGTGCTTTCTATATGTGAGGCTTTATACCTTTATACCCATTCTCTCACTCTTTTCTAAAATAATCTGTAATTACGACAGGCTAAAAGGAATAGTACAAACCAAAAAGTCTGAAGATCCCAACATGAAACCACCTCAGGTCAGTAGCAAGAAGAGACTTACAAATAAGTAGGTGATTTTGGCTTTAATTACTTCTTTGTATCCTCTGTTAATCCTGAGTTGTAGATAAGAGAGTTACAAACATTCCCCTTCCCCTTAGTTTGGAAAGAACATTAGCTTTGAGACTGACCTGTTAAATACTCTTAGAGCACACCTGTTGAACAGGGCACACAGGCTGAATAGGTTAAAAATCACACATTTTTTCCCATTGCAGTAGTATTTAGCCTTGAATGAGGAATCCAGCACATTATATTAATCAGATGAGGAGATATTTTGGAACAAGCCCATAGAATTTTACATTACTAGAGAAATGTATGTAAATTTATTTTCACTATGTAAAGTGAAGTGTAATTTAAAGTGGTGCCTTCAGC